AAGGCGAGGGCCACTCCGCTGGGGCCGATGAGCCGCTACCTCCCAGCCTCAGGAGGAGCGCTGCTCCCGCCGGCGCTTCGTGGGAGGGCATGGGGTTCGCGGAGCTGCTGAAAGGCACCGTCCTTTTACTGCGAGGTCGTTGTTCAGTCTGCAAGCACCTCAGAAATCGCCTCTGTACCGACGGGGAAGACACGTACAGGAAGGGGCTACTCTGAGGACTTAGCTCAAGGTTTGGGGGCCCGTAGGAGACCTGTGGGGACAGCCACTGCCCAAGGACGCCTGGGCGCCGTGGCCCCCGCCTCATCGAGGACTGGGTGGGCGAGGGCTGCAGCCTTCCGGCAGCTGCGGCCCTGGGGCCGGCCGGGCGGGGCTCCTCTGCTGCCCTGGGTCCCCTCCTGCGCGAGAGGGAGGTCGGCCCTTCCCTGGGAATGGCTGCCAGACCCTGAGTCCGCGAGGCCCTGGGCTGGTTGAGGCTTTGATGGGGAGCAGGCTGGAGAGCCTGCGCCCCAGCTGTGTTCCAGTGTGGGCCTCCTCTTGGGCGTGGTTCACTGCGGCTACGTAAGATAGCTGTGTCTGCTCAGTGAGAGCGGGCACCTGAACACGACAGTCGCTCACATCGCTCTGGGGCTGACCGTCTCCGGGGGAGACATGCAGAGTTAAAACGTGCACCACGGCATCTGCCTGTGCCCACCCGTCTCCCAGTGGGCAGGACGCAGGGGCTCTGGGACCCTAGCAGGCTCACCCCCAGCACCACGCGCACAGGGTGGCAGGTGGCGGGGGTCAGGTCTGCTTGGCGCTGGCCCTGCCGAAAGGACAGAGGGAGAGGGGCACATTTTCTCCCTGGAACGTGACACCAAGGTCACTTCGCACAGGCCGTTCAAACCGCTCCTGACTGCTCCCTGCAGAGTTTCCCTCTGTGCTTCTAAGATCTCTACTCCTGGGCTTTCAGAGTGAACTCGCCTCACCCTCCCCCCACCCCCCGGAGGGCCAGATACACCGATACTGACGCGTTACTAATCCTCAGAAGCCAGGGCTTGAGCGATCAGGGGACTTTGAAAGCCTCTGATAACTGGATTTTTGTCTCAGATCGCTGATAACGTTTTTAATTTGGACTTGGAGCCATTCCCTGTGGTAAAGAGTGCAGCTATTGTTCTGAAACCGAGTTCAGGTTAGATTTTGCCCCAACAGGTAGAGAATTGAAAACCTCAGTCTCTCGTAACACTGCCCTTAGAGCGGAGGTTCCTAAATTCTGGTCAGTTGTGCATCCCTTTCATGCTTTCTACCACACCCGAGTGCCAGCTGAAATTGTATTTACTATCTTGGTTTTAAGTACCTTCATTATTATACTTAAATCTATTTTACTGTCATAAATGGAAAAGGAGTACCACTTGCCCTTAGTTGGAGGTAATAAAATAAATACAAGGTAAACAAGTTATTAAATTCTGCCGGGATCGCGTTGCTTGCCAAAGGTGCTGGGTCCAGGGCCTGTCTCCTTTTTCCTAGTGTAGCCGTTCTAATGCCTTGGTGTCCAAGGGGGACTTGGGCCACCTTTGAAGACTGTATCCCTTGGAAGGCTCCTCCCCCTCACAATCTGTGTCAGGAGCTAAAAACTTGATTGGCTGGAATTGGGTGAAATCTCCTCTCCAAGATGTGGAAAGAGCACCATGAAGGAGGTAGTTGCCGCCTAAGAAATGTGTGACCTCAGGGACTGAGGATGCTGATGAGCGGAGAAGGCGTGGATGCAGGCACAGAAGCAGGCCTGGCCGGGTGGCTCGGCTGGCACGCCACGCCGCGCCCCAAAAGGCTGCGCTCCGTCCCCTTCCGGGCACGCGCCTCGGCTGTGGGTGAGGCTCGGGGCCGCCCAGGAGGCAGCCCGCAGCTGCCTCGGCCTCTCTCAAATCAATACTCGTATCTTTGGGTGAGAATGGAAAAAAAAAGTACAGAAGCAGGAATCCCATTTATTTGGCTCTTTCTCTTTCATCTCCCAACTCCTTCCCCTTTGGCAGCCATCAGCTTGTCTATTTCTTTGGGTCTGTTTCCGTTCTATTTATGCATTTCTTCAGATTCCACATTTAAGTGAGATCATGTGTATTTGCCTTTCTCTGACTTATTTCACTTGGCATAAGATCCTCTAGGTCCATCCCTGTTGTGTGTGGTAAGCAGCAAGGTTTCTTTTTTACGGCCGAGTAACATTCCGCTGTGTGTACGCCCCGCAGTGTGTCTGTCCATCCGTCTGCTGAGGGGCATCTGGGCTGCTTCCGTGTCTCGGTGGTTACTGGTAACTCAGCAGTGAACATAGGGGTGTATATGCCTTTTTGAATTTGTGTTGTGTGAAATTGTTGGATCATATGGCAGTGCTATTTTTAAATTTTTGAGGCATTTCCATGTTGTTTTCCATTGTGGCCACCCCATCTACAGCCCCAGCCATGGCGCACAAGGGTTCCCCTTTCTCCGCGTCCTCGCCAGCACTTACTGTTTGCTGGTTTAGTGGTGATAGTCATTCTGACAGGTGTGAAGCGATATCTCCCTGTAGTTTTAATTTTCATTTCCCTGATTAGTGAGGTTGGGCATCTTTTCATGTGTCTATTAGCCTCCTATATGTCCTCTTGGTAAAAATGTTTTTTCTGGTTCCCTGCCCATTTTTTAATTGAATTTATTTGGTGTTAATTATGAGTTCTTTACATATTTTCGACAGTAACCCTTTGTTGGATATTTCATGTATGAATACCTTCTCCCATTCAGTAGGTTATCTTTTTATTGGTTTCCTTTGCTGTGCAAAAACTTTTTACTTTGGTGTAGTTCCGCTTATTTTTTGTTTCCCTTACCCACAGAGACATATAACAAGATGCTGCTAAGAATGATGCCAAAGAGTTCACTGCCTGTATTTTCTTAAAGTTCTATGGTTTCAGGTCTAACACAGAAGTCTTTAATTCATTTTAAGTTTATTTTTGTATATGGTGCAAGAAAGTGGTGGTTTTATTTTTTGCATGTATCTCTCCAGTTTTCCAGCACCACTTACTGAAGAGACTGTCTTTACCGCATTGTGTATCCTTGCCTCCTTTGTCATAGATTAATTGAGCATATAAGTGAAGATTTATTTCTGGGCTCTGTATCCTATGCTGTTGATTCATATATCTGTTTTTATACCAGCACCATACTGCTCTTGTTATTGTAGCTTTGTAGTATAGTTTGATATCAGGGAGCATGACATCTCCCACTTTGTTCTTTCTCAAGATTTCTTTGACTAATTGGTGTCTTCGTGGCTCTATATAAATTTTAGGATTATTTGTTCTAATTCTGAGAAGCACACCATTGGTGCTTTAACAGGGATGGCATTGACTCTGGATATTGCTTTAGGTCATAGGGGCATTTTAACAGCGTCAGTCTTCCAGTGCATGACCAAGGTACAGCCTTCCATTTATTTGTATCTTACGCACTTTCTTGCTTCAGTATCTTATAGCTTTTAGAGTACAAATTTTTCCTTTCCTTTCCTTTTTTGGTTGGAAAAAGGATTGCATTAACTGCATTATCAAATAATCCCCAAGATTTCACTGGCTTAACAATAAAAGGCTATTTCTTATTCCAGAGAACACGGTTGAAGCTACACGCGAGGAGGTGGCTTTCCTCCCAGGGACGATTCGGGGCCCATCTTTGGTTCTGTGGCTTGGTCGTCACCGGGGGATCATGTTTTGTGTGTCCAGCTGGCGCGCAGGGGGGCAAAAGCAGCAGCGAGAGGCCCAGGAACCGGCAGGCTGTGAGGCTGGAGCGTGCGCCTCGCTCCCCCGGGTCACCCCCTGTCCCGCGCATGCCTGGCCCACGCAGAGAAGACCCGCCCCGCCCGTCTCCGGGAAGAAGCTGGCCCATGTGAAGGGGGTGCAGGGAAGCGAGATGGGGCAGGAGCCCGAGGGCCGCGGCAGGCAGACACGCACGTGCACGCGCCCAGCCGCTCAGGTCGGAAGGCGCCAGACGGGTCAGGCTGGTTCCGACTGAGGCTGCGGCCTTGGAACAGCCTGGGAGACGCGAGCCGCCGTTCCCTTGGAGAAAATGCTCCCGCTTCCCCAGACCTAAGGCCATTCCCCTTCCTAGTCATAAACGCCCGTTTCAGACGCTGCGGAGTGAGTTGTTTCAGCGACACAAACCACCCTGTTCCAGGAGCGAGGCCGCCTCAGTGTTTCTGCCTGTGTGTGGCTGCCCCCGGCCCTTCGTGCAGCTGTGTGGCCCGTGCGTGGACGTGGCCGCCGGTCTCAGCGGCGGGGTGGGGGCGGGGGCTCCGGACACCCTCCCCACAGCCCCACTGCTGTTCTGTGACAGGGAGCCGCTGTTCCTCTGGTGGTGACCTGCCGTCGTGGTTTGCCGCTCCAGCTGTGACTAAGGCTCAGGTGGTGTTTCTAAACAACCAACGGAAGCGGCGGCCTGGCAGGGCTGCACGTGGGGGCAGGGGCTGGGGACTCGGGCAGCGTCGCTGCTACTCGGGCCGCCCTGAGGGGGCCACCGTCACCTGGGGCGGACAGTTGGTTCCTCACTGGGGCAGCGCTTCCCAAACAAGACCCTAAAGTGACGCCAAGTCTTCTGCTCAACTACGCCTGATAAATGTTTTCCGAAAGTGCTTTGTCGCCTTTCTGAGGCTAATTTATAAATATGGCTAAACAAGGCCTTAGGCCAAACCATGAACCGAAAAAGCAAGGTATGAACCTCCTTAATTTACCAAACCTGACCTCATTTTTTTAATAACTGAACTACTAACAACTTGGACTTAAAAAAAAAAGACATGAAGCACCAGCAGGAATTAAAAGTGTGTTTTCTAAACAAGGTGAAGCAGCACCGTGAAATATTTCTGAATCCATTTTTCACAGCTTGGGTCTCTGCCTCCCACCCGCCTCCCTCCCTCTCGGGAGCAGGTGTGCTCGGTGGTCCAAGTCCTGGCTCCACGCGGGGCCCCCACGAGGGGGACGAGGCCGCCCTCCCATGTGAACTACAGTGAAGTCATGCTTGTCTTTCAGGTTCAGTATTTCTTCAAGATCCTGGACAACTAGCAGCGCGGACACTCAGGAGTCACGGGCTGAGGCGTTCACACAAGAGCGAATCACGCACGTGAGGAATGTGTTCATTCTTTTATTGTCCATTGTTTTAACCTGACTGAATACAAGGTCAACAAGAGCACTGTACTCCTGGCAATTGTTACATATGTTAGAACATGGAGTTTGCACTGTAGACAACATTTAACACCAGTCTATGGGGTACTGCATTGCTTTTTATAAAGTCCAAAATAAAGATTTATTTTTCAAACAAGTGACTTTGGTTTATTTCATACATTACACTTTTTCTTGCAGAAAAAAATAAAATTGTACAACTGCATAAATATAAAATTCTTCCACCATGAAAATGGTTAAAACATTCATGAAGACACAGCACCAGCACGTGATGCCTCCCGAGAAAGGAAGAAAGGAAAAGAAAGGAAATGTACAAAGCAAATCGACTCGGCAGCTCGCTGGCCCCAGTGACGAGCCGGCTCTCCCACGGCTTCGGGACGCACTGGAGGACAAGGTAAGAAGAGGTGGCCAGACAGCGTTCAGGACAAAGCACAACACAACCCCTCCCCCTTCTGTGTTTCTCTGCAGTGTCACCAAGAATTCAAAGGGCAGTTCCCCCATGACAGCCCCCCACCCCCAGCCCCAGGGGGTTAAAAAAAAAAAAAAAAAAAGACCTAACACCACAGGAAAGACTATGGAGTGTGTTAAAAATGCTCGTTGATGGGTCATTACCTTTGAAAGAGCCAACCCCCCTCCCCCCGAAAAGTGCCATGCCAGCGTCATTCCCGTTGCGTATGTACACCTTGGACAGCAAACCTTGCTCACGTGAAGTAGAAAACAGATATGGTAAAACATGGCTTGAGAAATGACCAGAGTGCGCACCTACAGGGCTGTACACGAAATCAAGTACACGCGGCAGCAACACTTAGGGGCCAGAAACACCGCTCACTACAAGTCAGTAATGGAATCATAATTTACAGTAAAAACGGGCACGTCCCAAGGCTCAATTTGTATTTCTCTTTTGTCATTTACAGTAGAATAAATATTTTGTTGCTATTGCTACACTTTAAATTTACATTCTAACCTATTAAATGCGGAAAGCTAGTGTAAAGCGTATAGATTAAGTGTAGGTCCCATACGTATGACAGTTTGTTCAAGACTAGTAGGTTTTTGTATCTCTTTTAACTTTTTAAATGGCTAGTGGGGAAGATCTGTGCTTGTGATCAGCTCTTGATTTCAATCTTCACATCAAAGCGTCCCTGGAAGCGGTCCTTCTCGCTGTACCCGATGTTGTCACCGTGCGCCTTGCACTCGATGCGGACCTCCGTGTCCTGGGTGAGGTTGGTGAACTGCACGGCCAGCAGCGGCTGCAGGTACTTGGGCTGCAGCAGCTTGCCGTAGTAGGGGTAGTACTGCAGCGGGAAGCCCGGGTAGCCACCCAGGCCGAAGTACTCCACGGTGCCGACCTTGTCCTTGTCTTCGTCTCTCTGGAAAGGAAGCAGGGACGAGACATCAGGCCCTGAGCCCCGGCCTGCCCACTCCACGCGTCCCGGGGACAGCAAACGTTGGCCCTGGAGGGCATGGGGGCCAACACATGGGGGAGCAACCCGCGCGCAGTCCTGAGCCGTTCCTGGCGCACAGGCGGGCCCGGACGAGGGCCCTCCGGCTGGGAATGGCCTCCCCCCCCCGCCCCCGGCACCCTCCGGGCAGCCTCACCTTGCCGGTGCACTGGACAGGCAGCACGTAGGGGTTGTACTTCCACATCAGGCCGTTCTCCAGGGACTCGTTCTTGGGAGGCTGAAAAGGAAGCCCGCGTCGGTCAGTGAGTGGGTGAGGAAAGCCTGCATTTCTGAAAAGTAAAACGAGTCTGTCGCCCGAACAAGTGCACACTGGTCACGGCAGGTGGACGGAAACACCAGCACCGCAGCGGGCAGCGGCGGCTGGGCAAGCCCCCAACCGAGTGCGGCAACACTGTGTCATGGGGCTGTGGGTGCTGTCAAAGTGACTGCGCCCCAGTTCTGTGGCCCTGAGGCAGCCCGGCCCTGACGGGGACTTCCCCCCCAGGAGCCGGTTACGCGCTTACGCAAGGACCCTGGAAAGCAAGCGCCTGCCCAGAACTAACGATCCTCGTCTGCTGAGGTCATGATTAGACAGGACGGGCGGCTGGCATTCCCGTTCCTGTAAGATGGCTGTCCTCCCGCGCCACGAATGGCTGAGTGACGCGCCCTCCCTTCCCCTCCAGCACACCGCCTTCAACCAGACCTTCCCTTCCTTCGCTGCCCTGAGATTGGGGAGCGCTTCCGACTGTTAGGGAGGTCCAGTCCCTAACAGATCGAGGGGGCATTGCCCTGAATGAAGTGCACCCTGAAAATTGCTGCTGTAGTGAAGCATCTGGACCCTTCCTTCCTGCACCCCTGGCATCTCTCGGCCTCTCTGGCAGGCCGACCGGTGTCCCAAGCAGCGGGGGAGGCCCCCCAGACTCGCACAGCAGCCTCGCATGCACGGCCTGACAGCAGCTACTGCTTGCGCAGTCGAACCGAAGGCACAGTCTCAGTACCGAGCCAGCCTTTTTGTACTGTTCTGTTTCAGAACACCAGCACGTGATTATCCAGATTAAACTCTCCTGGAACTTTCTGCCAGAAATCAATGCCTCTTTAAAAATATGAAAATGAAATTGGTGGGCCAAAGAGCCAGATTCCAGAAACAGCGTGAGTCCCATTCCTATAACTCAGTCTACGGCGCTGATACCTGTCCAGACACACAGCGCACTGACGGCGACAGTGCCCCGTGGGCGGGCGACCGCAGCGCGGCGGGGGGCCTGCCGGAGGGATCGTGCTTGGGAGAAGGCCGGCCCATCTCATGAGCTCGAGGAGAAGCAAAGTAACTAGCTCCACAAAAGCAGAGTTACCGCCCATAAATTTTCCCTGTTTCTTAGAGAATTGCTATTATCTTACCAAACGGTGAATGTGCCATTCCTCAGTGCCCGCCAGTTAATGCTGACCCTTCGTAAGCTGCCACAAAGCCAAACGCCCACAGCACGGCTATCAAAGCTCAACTCGGAGCGCAGCAACTCCTAGTTCTGCAAGCGCGTCCTCACGCCGATTACCAGTTAATTCAAAAAACAGTACTCTGGCCCCGGGAGCACCCAAACCAGAGTGGGACTGTATGTGCAGGTAGATTTCAACTTTAAAAACAGCGTTTTCTGTTTTCACTTTTAAAGAGTTCACATCATGTATCGCTTCTCAGCCTTTTGGATAAGATGAAGGGTCGTGCCTGCTCCTATCAGTCTGACGAGCTCACGTTACAAAAGCTGCTCTCTGGACACCGAGTTCCCGTGGCGAGGACACACCCACGAGGCTGGCCTTGGACCCCGGCTCTGCTGCCCAGAGCCCCACCAGCGGCCGGGGACGCGGCGCACGCCAGCCCCGCGGCTTCCCAGGCGGGCACAGAAGCCTGGAATGCCGCCCCCGTGACCGGCTCCCCCCCCCCCGCCCCCCGCCCCCGCTCTGATGCAATTTACAACGTCCTCAGGGCCTCCGATCGCCCTGTCCGGCGCTGCCTCGGAACATGACTGCCCACCTGGACCCCACAATGCAAAGTGTCACTTGCCTTCGGTTTGAAGCCCAGGACACGGTTGAGCTTGATGAAGATGCACGGTTTGCCGTCCTTGTAGCCGTACGTTTCGTCGTGCAACCCGGAGCAGTTCCCCAGCCACTCGAGCCTGAACCGGCAGACTTTCCGCTCGCCTGGGTCGCTGTCGAAGCCCCCTCGGTCTTTGAACTCGCTGGGCACACCTGGAAAAGCAAACGCCGTGTGTGCGCTGTTCCCATGCCCCCTGACGCGGGGCATCCAACCCGCGGCCTGGCACGAAACCATGGATTTGCTTAAAACGTTATGAGATTTTTTTTGTGATTACGTGTCACAGCGTATTTCATGTGTGGCCCAAGACAGCTCTTCCTCTTCCAGTGTGGCCCCGAGACGCCAGAAGGCTGGACACCCTGCTCAGTGCCAAGCGGAAGGACAGGCGCTTTCGTCCTGGTCACAGCCACACGCTAAGGAGGCGCTGCGCTCCCGCACAGCCCTGCCAGGCTCCGGCAATGCAGCCCCCACCTCTTACCTGACGTGAGGGAGGTGCTTTACCTAAAGCAACCGCCGGTCCCTAACCCCACACCAGAGTGTCGCCGCACTTGGTAATTAGGACATGACATCTGGTCCCTGGCAGTATTTCTCTCCCTTAAATAATGGATGACGCAGCTGTTGGGAAGATGGAGAGGCAACCGGATCGCTCTTCCTGAGAAGCACGGCCGACACAGGTCAGCTCAGCTCGGTGACAGGGAGGGACCCACCCGGACACAAGCTAAAGGGATAGCAGCCACTTTCAGCACTGGACGTTTCAGCCAGAATTTCCGGGGCTAGGCCTCTAATTAGCAGGTTTAACAATAAAGAGGAAAAGAATTTTGTTTTCCCATTTCGGCTACCATTCAAGGTTTGATTTTGTTAACTTTCAGATTTGAGTTTTTGCCTTCCAAAGCAGTGAGCTCTTCTAAGCATTTAATCCACCGAGAAATTTTATTGTAGCATTTTTTTATTCCTCCTCATAAACCAGGAGAAAGAATAAAAGAAATAGAGGACTCAAAGTTAATACAAACGTCCTGCAGAAGGCTAATACAAATATAATTTATATATAATTTCAAGTTCACAAACTAGCTATTTTCTCTTCCAGCAGGAAAGTGCCTCAGTTCAATCCATCGGACCTTTTAATCACGGCAAAGACAGACAAAAAACTCCTTGAAGTTCTAATGAGAAAATCTTGGTGAGACGCTTCTGGTAAATAGGTGAATCATTCCAGAATGACTTCACGTGGCAAGTCACCCCATGTTAGGACCAGGGAGAAATCTGCCACACAAAGGCCTGGGGCTGGCAAACGCGGGAAGGCAGGCAGAAGCCTTGCTGCCGCGCGGGAGCTCGCAGGGGCGCCTCGTCCCAGCGGGGAACGCGGTGGGGTCCTGGCCACCCCGCCCGGGGGCCGCTCAGACTAGGCTGTGCACCCGTCTGCAGGGGCCCTCGCGGGCAGAGGCAGGGACCTGGAATACAGGCAACTGCTGCTCACGAGCAGGGAGCACCGGGTACCGAGACAGACACTGTGAACTGAGTCTGCGCAGTGAAAAGCAGACATGTCTACTTTCGTACAGTAAGACCTGAGGCTACGCTGTGTTTTCCGTTGCACCCAAGCCTGAGCCATACAAAGTCTTCCTGCTTTAAAAAAAAGAAAAAAAAAAAGTGTCCCCTCCATAGGGCCATAGTTCAATCTCCCCCTTATTTCAGCATCATCGTTCCATGATCAAATACTAACTAGAAATGGGAAATACGAGTTCACCAACCACGAACACCCAAGAGGAGTCTACTCACTGCCGCAGTCTTCAAAGATCATGTCATCCTTCTGGGACGTGTCCTTGTACTTATCCAGGAAGCGGATGATGTTCACCACGTAGGCCTCGTAGCTCTTGGGGTCGCTGGGGCGGAAGGAGATCTCGGTCTTCTGGATCTGGGGGATCTGTGTTAATCCTGGGCCGGAGAGAGGCAGGAACGGGGCGTGTCAGTGGCGGGAGGGGTCGGCCCCCGGTTAATGTCCCTGTGACCACCGCTTACCATTGCCCATCGCTCCCCGCTCCCAGCAGCCCCTCCCCGCAGGCGTTACTAACTCCATCTGGTGAATGAAAGCGCTGCTTGCACAGAGAGGCTGAGAGCCCTGCCCCAGGCTCGCGTCGCTGAGGAAGCGGGGAGCTGGATCCCCCCGCCCCCCCCCCCCGTCCGAGCCCTGTCCTCCCCCATCCGTGCGCGCGCTGCCCACCTCTGCAGCCACCCCACCCCCACCCCCACCCGCCTGCAGCTCGGCCTGCAGCACCCGCTCTCCTCTCTGTCGGTGAATCTAGGCCACTCCGGACCCGCCAGGACTCAGGGCTACTCAGCAGGGATGTTCCTTGGGCCATTGTAACCTCAACTGGAGGATTCGCGGGTGTATGTGGGGGGCCTGTTCTCCATTCCAAATGGCTATTGTGACCCGGTTCAGTGCCAGCCCGGGGTAAACTTCAAAGCCGTGCCCCTTGGTTTTCCACTCGTCACCCAGTTAGTCAGATTCTTTGATTTCCAGGGACTCTGCCGTCACAAGACTCCCTAGACGGACGCATGAACCACGGCACGGGGCACGGGGCAGCGGGTGGAGGGCCGCTCACAGCGGAGTCCTAGCCCGGGGCTGCCCGGCAAGACGCCTGGCTACTTCTGAAACTCAGGGAGACCGCGAGGACATGTATATACACATGTCCTACACATTACACGGGACACACTGCCATACAAAAGTCACCTGTGCTGTATCGTCAGTCCAAGTGTAATCGCACGGCCTGTGGCTTTATCTGCCAGTCCGGCAACCCGCCCCGCCCCGCTGAGCCGGGTGCCGACAGCTCGCCATCATGTCCTTCGGGCCCCGCGCCGACAGGAAGACAACGGCACAGTCACAGTGAAAGTGACCGCGCGGGCACAGCAGCCACTTCGCGGCCCCGTTTGCAAGGTTTGAAGACAGGCGTCAGAGGGCCCAGGCAAGACGGCTGTCACGTTTCCTAGTGATTCGGGGAGGCTCTGGTCTCCAGTGTGGGGAGCAGCGGGGCCCAGCTCGGGGGCTGGTGGGGCCGCTCTGCGCACGCCCGCTGCCCCGGAGAGGAGCACGCGCGTCTGGCGCCAGGCAGAGGGGGGCCCAAGTCACGCATCCTTAGGGGTGACGTTAAGATTCATTTCAAAAGGAGGATGTAGAGCCTGAGCAATTCTGGGGACAGAGCTGTCACCAGCGATGCCCAGAGTTGAAGGGGAAGTCCGCAGAACTCATTTAAAAAAAAAACAACCAAACTTTGATAAAAATCAACAAAGGTTACTGCAATTAAAGCTTTCCAAACGCTCCCAAACCACAGACAGTTGTATGACTAAAGAAATCTAAATGGAGCCGGAACAACCCTTCTCTGTGCTGCACCAGGAAAACTGGCACTGTGACCACGTACAGCCAACGAGGCGCAGTGATGGAGACCACAGAGACCCCAGAGAGCGGCGAGGTGAGCCCGGGAGGGGAAGTTCCCGGGGCCTCGCGCACCTGGGCAGCCAGTGCCGGCCTAGCCTGCTGCCCGAGAGGCCTGCCGGGGAGTCCTGAGTGGCTTGAGCTGTAACAAGATACCTGCGTTAAGGTGGCCTGCCTGCGCCTGCAGGAAATGCAGGCAGAACTGGGGAGGACGAGGTGGGGGATTTTCCTACAATGTCCCTGGAGTCGGGAGGGAATGGAGCCCTGGGGGACCTGCTCCGGCCGGGAGCCCCGGAGAGCTCGCAGGCAGATGCCTTTGGCTCTGCCAGGCAGCGGCTTTGCTGAAACCACCTCCAGGTGCCGGGGGGGGGGGGGGGGGGGGGGGGGCAGGCATAGGTGAAGAGAAGATCTGTGTGCACCAGGCTGGACAGCATCCGCCAGTTGGAGAAACAGAAGGCGGGAGACGGTGGACAGAGAGCAGCAGCTGTCAGAAGGGCCACCAGTGTGGCCAGTAGCGATCACGCCACCACGGTCCATCAGCAGAGCAGGTGACACAGCAGAAAACAAGAGGCCGACACAACGTCTCTGGGCCTGGCGTGAGATTTGGGGAACACGAACCCGGAAGGCCATGTCGAGACTAACGCTGGCAGGCCCTGAATCGCGCGGTGAATGCCTGTCCCGCCGGTCCACGTCCCCTCTGGCTGGCCCGGCGCCGGCTCCCCGCCCCGGCATCTGCCTCTCGCTTTCTGGCTGCTCAAGGCGCCCCCCTCCCAGAGGCCTGTCTCGCAGACCCTCCCAGATGAGGAGGGGCAGGAGGGGGCCCTGCAGAGCGTCCCGCCCCCCCATGAGGCCAGCCCAGGGTCTCCCTGAGCGACCAGGCGGCCCGCCGGGCAGCCCGCAGCAGCAGCGGCTCTCCCCTGGCCCTCCGGGCCTTCACCCCAGGGAGAGGGTGGGGACGTGTGTTCTCCAGGTGCCGAGAGCGGGGGCCACGGCCAGGTTCAGGCTCCCCCAGACGTACGCAGCCTTTCTGATTAGCAAGCGCCTCTGCTGTTAATCACCCAAGATCTGATGTATGCGAACTGTAGATATCAGTACAGGCAAAACAGTGCAAATGGCCCAGAAAAGACAACTGGCCTCACGCCTCTCAGGGCAACGAAGAGACAACAAAAACCAAGCAATGGGATCACACCGCTTGGCGTCTGCCCGCAAGCCTGGGCCCCTCAAGGAGCGGGGCTCACGGTCCGAGCCCCGCCAAGCCGACCCCCCGAGGGAGCAAGGCAGCGGGAAGTCTTGGAGAATCTAGACTTTGTTCAGGACAGAGAAGCACCTGGACCTGGTGAGGCCGGGGATGCGAGCGGTGACACAGGCCGTCAGGCGGGCCCTGCCCCGCCGGGGCTTCCCGGGCAGGCTCTCCGAGGCCCCCCAGCCCCGCCGGCATCCCCCCGCCGAGGACAAACCTCCGACCTCTGCTCTGAAGCAGTATCTCTACAGCAGCTGAACGCTTCTGAGAGGCAGATGAAGGGCCCTCCACCTGGTGTCTAAATCCCTCACGTCCCTTACTTGACAGTTCGCGCCGGGCGCTCCCCTTCACGGCGCCCACACCGGCCTGACCCTGGTCCCTCTCCGCCCCGCGCACCCCTCAGGGGGAGGGGCCGTTGTGGCTGTGGACAGGGGGGCGCGCTGTCTGCTGCTGCGGTAGCTCCCAGAGGCCAAAGGTAGCCGGGCGCCCTCCGCAGGCCGGGGGTGCCGTCTGCTGCAGGAAGCAGGGCTGACCTGCAGCCCCTGCCCCCGGACTCGAGCTGCCCTTGGCCCTGCTGGGCGCTGAGCGGCTCGCAAGTGTGACCATTTGCCTTAAATTACATACTGACCACAATTTAATCAAGCCCCCTAAAAAACTTAATTAAGATATGGAAATGGTAATAATTGGTTATGTCAACTGTACATAACATTTGGGAACCTATGGCTTCGTGTTGCTTCTTGAGTTACACTTGCCTTCCCTTGGCCCCCAGCTCTTGAGAAAGAGGAAAACCCTCGAGCTTTGGTTTTGGTGGGGGAAGGGGCACAAGTGAGAGAGGAAACAAAAAGAAGAAGAGACATTTCATTGAGAAGGAAGTATTTTGTTTCCAACTATGCTCATAAAATGTAGCAAGTTCACAATTTCTCAATCTACTTGTGAGTCTGAAGTATTTAAAGAGAAGGAGCCACTTCAGCCTCGTAGCAGTGACGCCCTGAAACCAGCCCACAGAGGTGCGTCCCTGTCCGGCACCATCTCTGGTGACTCATGAGACCAAATACAGTTGGCCCTGAACAACACGGTGGGAACTGTGGGTCCGCTGGTACGTGGGCTTTTCGCAATAGAGAGGAAACCTTTTCAGAGGTTTGTCATTTGAAAAAACGCAGAGGAACTGTGTCGCTTAGAACTATCAAAAAGAAAGGAAAAAAGAAAAAGCTACGTCATGAAAGCATAAAATGTAAGTACGTATTTTGTCCTTGTTTTGATTTTCTTAACGCCTTTTCTCTGGCTACTCCATTGTAAGACTGTATCATACAAGTCACTAACACACGGAACGTGGGAACCCGCTGCTCAGGGTACGGCTTCCTGTCCACAGCGGGATACGGCAGTGAAGCTTTGGGGCGTCAAGAGTTACATGTGGGTTTTCGACTGCACAGGGGAGTCGGCACCACTAACACCTGTGTTGTTCAAGGTCCAGCTGCACTGCAAGCCTCACGCTCCCCGGAAACCTCAGGGGGCTCCCACTCGCCCGCCAAGGACACCCGAGGCACGGACGCACCGACCAATGGGGGAGCCACACGCACGGCGCGTGCACATCGCGTCTCTCCTGGGCATTTCCAGTTGAAAAGTGATTTCCAATAAAAATCTGGGGGTGCATTTTATACACACAGACGCTTATCTATGTTCAGCTATACACACCTGTACATAGCGTCATACACGTGTACACATGCACATGCCCTGCCCCCCCCCCAAAGTTTCTCCCTTCAAGTGCCACTAAGACATTTATGGGGTCCTTTATTCTGCCTCCACAAGTTCAGTATCGATTTAGCTAACACCAGGAGAGCGCAGGGAAAGGCACCCCATGCTTCCTGGATTCCGGCAGCCTCCGCCTCGCCTCCCGCCTCAGGCTCCGCTTCGGCGGCGCCCAGGGGTCAGCCAGGGGCAATGCCCTCCTGCTGGTGGCCCCTGCTACCCGCTCTGGGCACCGAGGACCTGCTCCCTCTGAACAGCCCTCGGAAGAGGAGCTGCCAGGCTCGCTGTGCGCCCTCGGCGGGCGTCCGGCAGCCCTCGGTGGACGGAGCCCGCTCTCCCGTCTCAGCTGAGCGCCGCCCGCGCCAGCCCAAGGCCGCGCCCCCTCTCTTGTCGTCAGCCCTCGCGGGGGCGGCACCTCCATTTTCGGGAGACCCTCGGAGGGGGATTCCCCCGCATGCCACCTCCTAGCACGGTATCTTTACGACATCGTGCAGCTCACGCTGTTTTTCCCCAGTAAAACTGCAACTTTCCTACTGGGAAAATACAAAGAGGCAGATCCCAGTGTTTTGCATTAATTACACGTCCTGTTCGGGCCAGGCTGACGAGCAGTGCATCTGTCCCGCCTCCATACGAAGCACAACATTCGCTAAGCGCCCGACGTCCTGAAACAAGACACCGAGCTGGACCTGGCGTCTGATGATGCCTATTCATCCGTGCATGTGGGAAAAAGGACACGTTTCTGGTTGGAAGCCACCAGATACGCCTTCCCTGTTCCCCTTCGTCTGGTGTGTGCCAGGGGGCCCTCGGGCCACAGGAGTCCTAGGATGAGGGCACTGACCCCCGAGGCAGGAAGCAGCCACCCCCGCCGCACTGCGCCCCGAGACGGAGACCCCGAGGCCTGAGCCCTTCCCTTCCGAGCACAGCAGCGAAGCCCCAAATGAAGCTCACAGATTCAGTATCGCCACCCCCACCCCTGCCCGTGGGGCTGTCACCTAAGATCAGGGCTCGCGGCACCACTCACACATTGAAAAGGAACACACAGAGCGAGACCCGTGTGTCTGAGGCTCCGCGAACACCTTAAAGTTGATCACCAGGCTTCCTGTGCACCCGAGCGCTGTTTTGTCGCATCCCTGTCTTCAGGAAGGAAGAAACAGCAACGTGGGTAAGCGACTAAACCAGGGGCTGGCAATGCTAAGGGGCAGGAACTGGAGCCTGCCAACCAAAGCCTGTCCCACACTGAGCCTGGGCCGCAGCGTCTGGACACCCCGCCGGCCCCCGTGCCAGCCCATCGCGGCCTCGGGCCTGGAGGGGGAGCCCGCGCGGCTCCGCGGGTTTATCTCGGCAGATTGGGGCAACATCATCAGAAGTGGCAGGAAAACACCTTCCTGGCGCTTTGAGAAAACAAATTCCTCCGAAGCGCGATGAGCCAAATGGTTCCAAATCCCCCTCTGAAACTTAAGGGGTAGACAGCTGAGTGCGGTGTAGTCTAAGAAAGAAACAGGCCATCCTGAGACTGCCGTCTCCAGAAGCCCACTCGTGCTGAGCCTGGAGCTACAGCACCTTGGACCCGGATGGACTCTTAGGGCAAGATGCCCCTCCGGCCAGCAAGATGGCTGACACCCACGCCACCAGAGGTGCTGCGTGGCCTGTGGGCTTCGCCGTGGACTCTCCCACCTCGCTCCTGGTCACCATCGCATTGGTAACACGGCTGTTTAAAAACGACTTCTTGGAGCACTTCAAAGCCAAACAAAGGCCGCCCACAGCCACAGGAGGGAGGACAAGAACATTGGTTCATGCCTGCTTAGCAGGAAGCGGGACAGCTGGGACCACCCTGGACCCGCCGAGTGACACACAGGGGCCTCCGTTGGCTGCGCTGCTGCTCAGTGGGCGGGGGCGGGGGGGGGCGCGTGGTGGCAGGGCGGGCAGCAAGGAGCCCGGGGCAGCCGGGGCAGGGCCTGGTGCGCGAGCCGGGCGCGCACGCCCCAGCCTCCCTGTCCAGAGCCCACGGCGTCACTGCATGAGGAGGGACCCCGCTGACCCCACGAGGCTGCCCTTAGAGGGTCTGCCTGGGAGAAGGACCTGGAGGCGCTAACCCCACATGCGTGGGCACTTTAAAGAAAGGTCACAGAACAAATAGAATGCCGTTTAAATGGACTTAGTTTTTAAAACGTGTTTCCTGATCCAGCCACTCCCCAAACTCTGCAGAGGAAGCTAAGGGTCTTTTAGCGTCACAACCACATGAGCGTAGGAGGCACCTCCACTGCAGCGTCCCACGTGCACGGCCCGGAGAGGCTGAAGCCGGTATCCAGGGGCGGGGGGCAGGCGGGGCTGCTGACAGCGACCTCCTCATGCCGCCGGGTTTGCCTGACAGACACTCACCTCGTCCATCCTCCCAGGTCCTAGTCCCCCTTACAGACGAGGAAACCGAGGCTCGGGGAGGTTCCAGCGCATGGCTGGCGGGGGCTGTGCCCGAGGCCCCCCTCCGCGGGGTGGTGGGCGATGGCCCGGGGGCTCAGGCCCGCTCCCAGAGTCAGGCCCGGCAACGTGCCACGGCCAGCGGCCAGCCACTCGGACCTACGGGAACACCTCTGTCATGTGTCCCAACTGGGTCTCTCGGCCAGGCTCCAGCCCCGGACCTCGGGGCCCCAATGTCCCGCAGCCACAGGGCTTTGCAGGAGTGTCCCCGGCACCACCCTCAGGAAACTGGACGTGTCCCCGTCTTCTCTTAAATCTCACTGCCATGTTGGAACTCCTCCTTTCTCTGAGACTTTGTGTCTAGTCCCTCGACCACAGAGACGCGCAGAGCCCACCACTCGGCCCGCCGGCTCCTGGGCGGGGACCTAATGACGAGTGTGCAGGGGCAGCCAGGGCCCCTGATTCGGTCAGTAACGGGGCTCAGAAGCCTTCCAACCTTCACACGCCGGGCCGGGGGCACCGCCCTCACTGGGTTGGTTTGACTTAAGGATACAATTTTCCCCGTTATCACAACCACAGAGGCTTTTACAGATGTTCAGCCGAAGCCCGGAGGCGGCCAGGGCTTCCCCCCATCCATCGGCTCGGCCTGCAGCCGGGAGGACAGCGGCTGCCTGTCAGAGACACACACTGTCACGGTGTGCCCCGAAAGAGGCCACGAGGAGGGACCACGCGGGGACAGTCCCCGGCTGCTCTGTCGGCAGATGGCGCTGGGCCGGCCTGGCACCTCCCAGCTCCGAGGCCAGCGCGGCGTGCACGGCAAGGTCACGTCCTTCGTAAAGGAGAGGGACACAGGGGGCCTGGCCTAGGCTCCCCCGGCACAGGGCAGGGGGGCGGGTGAGGGGGTGAGGGGAAGGAAGGAGCAATGACAAAGCGCGCGGGGGACAGGATGGGGAAGCTGGAGGATGGGCTTGTGACTCAGACTGGAGGACAGGGACGCATACTTCCAGGATGAGCCACAAGCATTCCTTCGGACAGGCGACTCGACTGCTGCAAGGATGCTAAATATAGGCACTGAGAATGTCTTTTAGGAAGGGGCTTGGGGGCGGGGGGGGCGGGGGGAGGACCCAGCACCGCCGCCGCGGCGGATTTCCCCGCAAGGTCACCTGCAAGGTCCCCACTGGAGAGGCGGGCGCCCCGGCCAGTCAGCGTCCGTGTCTCCAACGGCCACGAGGCCCGCTCCCCAGGGCCTGGGCCGCCAAGGGCCCTCTTCCAAATGCGGGAGATGCAACAAAATGCTTGCCTTTCTGTTCAACTGTGGCTTTTAGCGAGGAATTATTAGAATATAGCGTCGTGACTGAAAACTGGCTTTTCAATGGCCAAACAAATCGAAGGTCTATACAAGTTTAAATGACGATGACTAATGCTGCCATAAAAAAACCCCTGCCAGGAGGGGACAGGAAAGCCGCCCTGCTTTGTGGGCACACGGGCAGCGGGCAGCATTCGGCTTCCTCGGCTGGAGCGCGCCCTCCGACCCCCCCACGGGCCGCCTGTTGCTGGGAAATAGCGGCTGCGAGCTACAGGCTGTTAGAAGCGGGTCGAGGCCGTTTTCTGCACGGACGTGTTTTCTTTCTCCGCTTCCAGCGTCCCCCAGAACCAAAGGTCTCTGGAAACATGGGGGCTTCCCCACGGCAGAGACTGCCTGACGCGGGGCTGAAAGGCGACAGTCGCCACCTCCACACTCAGGACAGTTTCTCCCCAGAGCCCTCCCCACACCCAAGGCGACGGACGTGCCGAGTCTGCGGCGGCGGCCGCGCATGATCCCGGCCGCTCCGTGCCAGGAAGACGGCCTCGGGATTGTCACCTCCATACAGCTGTTACTCAACAGCTGCCCAGGGAAACTGGAGAGGGGATGCGTCATTGCCACCCGCCGAAGGTCATTTATAACGGCAGAACCCGGAAGTTACGCAACCTTTCCCCACCCCCTAGGGCCTCCCAGCCGTGGCTTTTAAGAGGCACAGTCACGCTGGTGATTGATCGACTGTCCTGTCTTGCCAGCATCAGGCGTGACGGCCTGGGCTGGTGTGGACACACACCACTGCACAGTGCTGGCCACTCGACGCTGACCCAATGACACACCAGTCCCAGCAGGGCACGTGTGTGGCACCCTGTGTTTTCTAGAACCTTCATCAGCCCAGCTTTCAGAGCTACAGGAGACAGCTGTACTGTGGAGTGGGTCCAGAAGGCCAGCGAACCGGACTCCTCACAAACAGGCGTAAACACTGAGAACTGAAGAGAGTGCTTTTGTTCAAGGACAAAAAGCCGCTGGGAGAGTGGACCCTGCAGTCCTGGCTCCTCCCCGGGGCCAAATCAGGTCACCTGTAAACACAGGCGCCAGAGTGGTGTTTAAAGGGCTGAGTCCCAGTCCCCTCGAAAAAGTGAAACCGTGTGGAGGGCCCTGGAGCGCTCCCATTCACACCCCTGCAAGGGCCGGGGCAGGGACAAGGGGCTGGGGCTGTCCCCGGGGCACATGGCTGGGGGCTGGCGGGGCACAGGGCTCCTCACGCCCCCGCCCCCGCCCCCGCGGAGAGAGAACCGTCTGCGGCCCCCGGGCTCTGCCAGCAGAGAAGCTGCTGCGCTTCCTTCAGGGCTCCCCTGCCCCCACCCCCCAACTGTCAGAAGGCTGCCGCCTGCCTCCCGCGGCAAGAGCTGAACAGGTGCGCGCTGCCATTACCTGGCGGGGCCACTCGGTCCTGATAGGTGGGCTTGAACTCGCTGATGGTGAGCAGCATCACCTGGATGGTCCCGATGAAGATGCCGGCCAGGCAGCCATAGAAGATCACGTAGAACAGGAGGATCTTAACTGCAGAGAGAGCAGACACACACGAGGCCATGAGCGGCCGCACGCGGAGCATGCCGCGCACGCCACGTCCCCCTCCCCCGCGCCCCCCCGCGCTGTGTGCACGCCCGGGGCAGGGAAGAGTGGCGAGGAGGCACAACTGAGATTCTTTATAGCAAAGAATTTTATCCCCGAAATTATGAAAAACATTCGCGAAGGTCGTCAGCGAAACCTAGGGCTGCAAATTCGCTGCACATGGCGGTGCGACCCCAGAGGCCGCCACCCCCCGCGAGCTTGACCCACCGGCCTCGCAGCCCGGCCTCTGCTGCTCCTCCAAACACCAGCCAGCAGCGCCCCGAGGCCGGGGGCCCCGCTCACCGCTGCCCCGCTCCCTTCAGTGCTCCTCACAAGGCGCCCCTTTCCATTCGGGTGCACCAAACCAGGAGAAAACAAACAAAAAACCTGCTCCAGGGACAATGGCTGGCACGTGCTCACTGCATCTTCTGAACAGCAACGGGTCTTGATGGACTGCGGATTATTCCGTTTCCCAGGCCCCAGGAGGCCACGCGAGCAAAACGCCCACACTCCCAGGGGCCCAGGGACCAACCCACGGTCAGTGCCCGGTTTGCAGGGGCTGCCTCCCAGTCGGCTGCAGGGCACCGGGCAGTACCAGGCAGGGCCTGCGGCCCGGGCCAGCCACGTGGCTGCAAAGCGGGAAGAGGGGAGCCCAGGGGTTGGCCGGTCCCCACACAACTGCACACGGGGCCTCTGGTGCCGTCTAGAATGTCCGATCTCAAGCACTAGTTGCTGGGGTCCTTTGGGGAAAAGCTACAGGACAAGTGTCATTGACAAGAAGTGGAGGAGGGTGGGGGGAGGGATGTGGGGAAGGAGGGGTCCACGGGTGGGGCATTAGCCAGGTCTCCATCTAGTGAAAAGCCCAGCTTTCCTATTAGCAAACAACCACGCTGGAGGGTTGTCCAAAGAAGCAAAACATACACAAAACGGCACCAAGGTGACTGATTATAATCCTTGCGAAAGAAGGGGGAAGGCAAAGCCAGAGCAAAGGGAAGCACGAAGGCTGCCCATCCCAGGGCTCTAGCTGCCCAACTCAGCGGTTGCGTCCTGGCAGGGAAGTGGTTAAGGCTCACTGCCTCGGTATCCAGGCAGCGGCAGGCAAATGGCAGGGCTGTGACGTCAAGAGATCTGGAAAATTTTTCCAGCGACTGCTCCTCAGAGGTGCAAGAGCTGGTGCAGCGCGGACAGGGAGGGAACTGCCGTACCCTCTCTCTGTTGCCCTGGCCCGATAGGGCGCTCTGAGCTTCCTCACGCCGGCGCTTCCGACGGCGCCCAGAGTCACCCCCGACTCCCGGCACCTAAGGCTCAACACGGGCAGGTCCCTGACCCACGGGGGCGGCCGTGTAAAACACAAGCACAGCCGCAAACACAGCCGTGGAAAAAGCAGTCACTTGCCAAGCACACTGCCTGTGTTCAAGAAGGCGCAGCCTCTCCGGCCTGCCCACTGCTGGGCCCTGAGAGGAGGGAGTGCTCCTCTTTCGCTCTGAAAAATGTGCCCAGGTGCCGAGGTGAGGTCGCTTGGGTAGCAGGGGGCGCGCAGGCCACCAGGGCTGCTCAAGGGAAAAGCTGAGCAAATGCTACCTGCCGGCTTGGGAGGCCCGCTCCCTTTGCAAAAATTCACTATTGAGGTTTTCCAAATGCCAGAGGTGGTGGGGGGCTGGGGAAGAGGACCCTTCACCGGGGCAACAGGCAGAGGCAAACAGGGCATCGGGGCCCAGCAGGACACACGAACCCACCGACGCCTGTGACCGCAATAAATCGGCGGGCAGCACAGGCGTCTGCGTCCACCTAAAAGGAGGGCAGTGCAGGCGGCCTGTGTCCTGTGATTTCTCACAGGTGACAGGCCAGGCTCCCGCATCCATCTGGGTGAAAATCTCCCGAGAGGCAGAATGGAGCCAAGGGCGACCTGCCTGGGCCCAAGGGCACCGTGCCGGCCCCGTGCGGGGAAGGTGGCGCTTTCCCCTCGGAGAAGCAACAGCCGCCACCTCCTCCGCCCACCGTAGGCTCTGCCCTTTCTTATGCTGCCAGAAAGGAGCAGACAGACCAGCACAAAACAAAACCTGGGTTCTTAGCCCAGCAGCTGTCCCCTGGAGAATGGAAGGAAAGACGAGGCGGGCACAGCAGAGCTGATGTCCGCGCCCTCGGGGCGCGCTGCCAGAGGGGGGACCCAAGTGCACACGTATTCATTCTCCCTCTCTCCCCCCTCCCCGACCCCGGAGGTGCTGCCCCATTAAATGTCGGCTTAAAGAACAAGGAGTTCCATACAGCCTCACCCCCTAAAGCAAATATTATTCTGGAATTAGAATGAGGAAAGAAATATATTTTATGAGGGGTAAACACTAAAGGGCAAATTTCGCCACAGGCCTGGAGCCCACGCAGGGCGGGCCAGACCACCTGGGCGGGGGGGGGGGGGGGCGGTGGCCGCCAGCAGGCTGGGGGAAGGGGCTGGCTCCGCAGCACGCCCCACCCACCCCGGGGTTAGCCGGAGCTGCTGGACCATGGCCCTGGCGGGGGGCTGTTCGCCCTGCACACACCCTGACTTCCAGGTTTTCCCTTCCACACCAAGAAAGTGCTGGGGGCTTTCCCCAGGCGTGAGAAACGACGGCAATAATCCCACCGAAGAACAGCATCCGCCACGTAAAATGAAACATAAAATATGAGCTAAAGCCCTCCCCGTAAAGACCTGCCTGTAACACGGCTCGGGGACACCTAGGCTTCCCGGCCCAGCCTTGGAATGAGACTTCACCTTGACTAACCTTGAAGGTGATGCATTATTAACCCTTCCCTTTTCCACCAAGAGGGGCCCGCATTAGAGGCGGCATTTTCTTCCCCTCACGAGAACCACAGATCTTGGCTCCTTCCATTTCAAAATGTCAGCCGAGCACCGTTTCCCTGACTCATCCTGCTGATGCCCATCCGCAGCCTGCCCCAGCCCCTCTCCAGGGCTCCCCAGGCCGCGGCGGCCGCGGTGCAGGTGGTGCTCCTGACCACGGGGATGAAGATATTGGGGGACGGGCGATGATGCAGGAGGGGGGAGTTCCCTCCCTCGGGGCTGCGGGCACCAGTCACGACTCTGATCTGCCTACAACTCTGCCCTTCAGAATGACCTTTAAGTAAAAAAGTCAGCCTCCAGGTGTAGGGAGAAGACAAGGAAGGTGTCTAATTTTCAAGGGGGGTGGGGAGTGGAGGAGGGGGCAACGTATCCAGCCCAGCAACAGGCTGCCCAAAATCTTACGATGACCGGTTTCTGCCTTTGTGCCATCTCTTTCTTAGGCGAACCCCATCACCGTAATGAACCCCAGCTACCGGTTCTGCAACTGTCAGCGTAGACATGGAAATCATCGAGGCTTTGCCGTGTTTGCGGCTCACGGCTCCGAATCGGAGTCCTGCCGTGGAGCTTCCTGGGCCGTGTCGCGGCCGCGGGGGTCTCCGGGCACCACTGGGCAGACACACTGCAGTGGGGATGGGCTCCCCGCCCCGCGCCCGGAAGGTGCACAGTTAGCCTAGAAGGGGCTCACAGCACGCAGCCGCGGCTGCATTAGATAGGTTACCCTCACGAAGTTCTCTCATCCTCAAATCTCGTTTTGCTTTTTGCCTTTTTTTATTTTTAAGGACTCGGGGCACGGCCCTCGGGAGAGGCGCATCCAGTTTCCCAAAGGCTAACCATTCCCAGCAGGGAAGGTCCCGCGATGCTCGGGAAGACTGGAAATTACCGAGACAGGGCCGCTACCATACAGAGCCCTGTGCCCGGCGCGCGCTCGGGCCCCCACTCTGCGCGCGTCCCGGGGACTCCGCGCCCGCACCGGACGATAAGCCCAGCCGGCGCGACCCCCTCCAGCCTCGCCAGCGCGTGGGTGCGGAGCGGTCCGCAAGACCCTGCGCAGGGTGCGCCGCCCGCGAGAGGGAAGGAGCTGGGGAGAGCGCGGCGGACCCCGGACTTACACCAACTGCCGCCGGTCCTGCCCAAAAACTCCTTCTTCTCTGAGTTCCAGATGAATTTCTTCCAGCTGCCCTCCTCCTTGGCTTTTCCGCGAGCCATGGTGGTGGGTCAGCAGCTGCCGCGGGGGCTGCGGACGGCGACTGCGGCGTGCGCGCTGGGTCTTCTCCGGCTGCCGCTGGGCTCCGGGCCTGGCTCTGCGCAGGCTGCACCCGCCGCGGCCGCTGCGGCGCTCCGAGTGCCCGACGCGCGGCGGAGCGGGAGCAGGAAGGGGAGGCGGGGGAGGCGGCAGGAGCGGAGGGCGGAGGGAGGGACCGCGCGGGCTGGGCGGCTCCGAGCCCCGCACCTATTGGTGGGCACGCGGCCGCTCGCCGGCTCTCTTTGGTCCGCCACGCGCTCCTCTCGCCCTTGGGGCTCAGGAGCTCCGCAAGCCCGCAGCTGCCACTCCCGCTGCCGCTGGGGACGCGCGCGCGGCCCCCGCCTCCTGTGACCTCTGCGGAGACAGGCCGGGGCAGCGGAAAGTCAAAGGGAAGGACGGACCAGCGAGCTGTGGCCGTAACACTCGGGCGCCCGCCGCACGCCGAGCAATAGGCGGACGGCGCACGCTCTACCTTTACTTTATACCGCGCCGCGGCGGCACGGGGCCCCGCCCACCAGCAGCCCTGCTGGCCAATCGCCGGCTCGTAGGGGCGGGGCCTCGGGCCCGAGGGGGCGGGCGCGGGCCGGCACAAAGGAGCCGCGGCGGCGGCGGCGGGCTGGCGCGCGGGGGCGCGGAGAGGGGCGGCGGGGACGCGGGGACGCGGGGAGCGCGCAGGAGGCACCGCGCGGCTGGCTCTGCGCTCCGGGCCCTGTGCCCACCAGCGGCCTCTGTGTAGCCCGGCGCCCCGCAGGCGCCCGGGGACCCCGGCCCGGCGTTGTTGATAAAGCCCCTCCCGACCCTGCGCGCCCGCCTTCCCCGCGCGCTCCCGGCCTCGCTCGGCCGCAGGTTCCCCTGTCCTAGGCCGGGGCGGGGTGGGGGAAGGTCACACCGGGACGCCCGCGAGTCCGGGACTCTGCCCAGCTCCGCCCCGCCCCGCCCCTGCACCTGCCGGCCCCTCGGCGCTCCCCGCCGCTGCGGTGAAGTTCCGGCCCGTCCCTCCCCAGCCCGACCGGCTGTGCTCCGTGCGGGCGGCCTGAACCACCTCAAACAGGACACTCGCCAAACCCACCCAGGGCGGCAGCCGGGCCCCGGGGCTCGGGAGCTGGAGGAGACCGACCAAACCCGGCGAGCCTTCCCTCGGAAACCAGCCGCAGTGCACGGCGGCTCACGCTAATCTAGACCTCGGGCAGCCACGTCTGCACGTGACCCCGCCACCGAGGACTCTCCCTGACACCGAGTCAGTGGCTCGTATTCCCACCGACGTGCTTTACGCCCCTCTGCGGGGCACTGGTCCATTTGTTCGGCTGTGAAACGCCTAGGACGGAGAGATCGCTAGAACGGCGAGTGGTCCTCGGGCCGCGCTGGGCACGCCCCGCCCCCCATCCCTCTCCCCCGCGGCTGCAAAGCCAGACTCCTTGGTTCCATCTCCCTCCCCCGGCGCGGAACCCCTGAGCGGCTTCACGCGTGCCTCTCGGGGCAGTGACACAGCAGAAAAAGGCAGGGTGCATGGCAGTCGCTGCGGAGAAGCCCCATCCCTGGGAGCAACGCAGCCCGCCTGGGAAAAGCAGATTTCCCAGCCCCGCGTCCAGGGACCACCCAATGTTGGGCGCCTTTCTATGTCCAAGGTCAACCCTGCGGGTCTAGGACGAGCTTGAACTGAATCGCGTGCACTCTTTCCCACTCATCTTTCTCTAGGCCCACGAGCAACACTGGGGCACACCTGGAATTTAGGAAAGCAGCACCCACCCAGCCCTGGGGGCTGGTGCTGCAGGGCTCCCGCAAGGGCAACCCTGAGGGCCCTGTGTGGAGACAGGAAGCCACCTGGCTCTCGCCTGCCTGTTTGTGTTGGCAAAGCCCCCTGCTGCTGAAGAAATGCAGGAAGAGGCTGCACCTGCCGGCAGGACACCCTGGTCCCCTCCCAGCAGAGGCTGTCTCAGGGAGGAGTTTCCAGCCAACAGGTCACTGGCAGGGGCATGTGTTTATTGGGCACCAGCTACCTGTAAGAGGAAAGAAGGCAGGTGGGCAGAATCAGCAGAAAAGGATGAGTGGGAGGAAGAGGGCGGGAGGGTGGAGGGAGGGTGCGGGCGCCATCTACGCACACTGCCCGGTCCACCCTTCACCCCACCCTCAGTCCTCTGTGCCTCCCTCACCCTCTCCTTCCCAGGAGCCGCGCGGTAAAATGAAGTCTGTGGAGAAAGGCTCAAGGAGACAGATTTTTCATTAGAGCCCCATCTTGCCTCTGAAAAAGAGTCGTCCTACGTTAGGGCTGCAGCCAGTGCCGAGCTGGCGAGGCCGGCCAGGACCAGCCTTCTCCCTCATCCTTGACCCGGTGCCTTCCTCCGGGGACACCGCGCCCCTCCCCCCATTGAATTTCACCTCCCCGCCTGCGCTCACTCTCCCTCCCCTGCCCGTAAGCTCGGCCCGGGCCTCAGGGGGGTGCTTCACAGGCAGGGCAGCATCTCGTTCTCAGCCCCCCGCCCGCCCAGGCTTCCTAGGGGTCCCCCTGTTTGCCCCCCAAACCCCGGAGTGCCACTGGGAAAGAGGGTCGCAGCCCCGAGGGAACCACAGGCGGACTTCCCAGCCCGCTAGACCGTCCAGGAGCCTGCCACCCTCCTAACTGTGTCACCGCAGAGAGCCACCTGGTGAAGAGCAAGACAGGCCTGCACGCTGGCAACCCCAACAGGCTGGCTGTGTGACCTTGGGCGAGTCCCTTGTTCTCTCCAAGGCCAGTTCCCCGGGTGGTAGAAGTGGAGCGCTCTGTTGTTGTGAGGATTAAACGGGAGATGCGGGGGACCGTGCCTGTGGAGTAGCTGGCTTGATTATAATGAGCTGTTTCCATCTGACCGTGTCTAACCTTGGGGCTCTTGCTCGGCCTCCGCCACCTTCCCACCTGCTGGGACTCGGGTTCCCTTCGAGGCTCGCCCTGACTCGTTCCCCACCCTCCCTGCCACCTTCTCCCTGGCTTTCCAACGTGCCTGCCACGCCGTGACCTCCTCTAACTCTAGTAATGAATAACTTGAGCACACCGTGTTCCTTGGGGCTCGCTGGGCTGGGCTGCCGAGCGGGGGGTGCTCTAGCCGCGGGCTGGACGCAGAGAGTGCAAGGTCCTCCGCAGGGAGGGGGCCTCTGGCAGGTGGAGCGTGCACCGGTGCCGGTGGGGGAGGTGCGGGCCACGGAACCGGGAGGGCCGCCTCCGGGGACCCGCTGTTTCTCTGCAGAAAGGGGGAGGCAGGAGTTGGAAGGCTCAGGGTGGAGAGAGCAATTTTTTACATCTTTTTCTGGGCAGGTGCGGGGGGAGGACTGGATGGAGGGGGCCGAGAGCAGGCGGGACAGCAGGTTAGGGACCTCTGTCCCAGTAAGGATGGCAGGTCCTAACCCAGGAAACGGCTAAGACAGAGCTTCAGGGGCCTGCAGAAGGGGGGTGGGGGGTTGGCCGGCTGCATGAGGGAGACTCAGATGTGAAAATCAGACCATCCCACCCGCGCCCAGTTGTCCCCAGCCAGCGGCTCCCTGGGCCGCTGGGCCAAACCCACGCAGCCTGGCCCGCAGCGGCCTCGGAGGGCCAGGCCGTGTGTTCAGGGTCACACCGTGGCGGGCACGGGAGACCCGAGTGCCGAGCAGAGCGGGGGAGGGTGCCTACTGCACACGGTGACTCATCTTGGCAACAGGACGTGTGCGGAGCCGGCAAGGAGGGCCGGGTGGCCGGTCTGCCCGCCCACGGGAGCAGCGCTCGGCGTGGGGGGCAGCTGCCCCCAGTCACCCGCGGGACGCGCCAGCGGCCTGGAGAGCAGGCGCCCCTCTGTGTCCCCCGTGGACCCTGCGTGTGTGTGATGGGGAAACATTGTTCTCTGGAGACCGGGGGCCCTGAATGGAGACAAGTAGAAATACCTCTTCGTTGGAGCCGTGCTGGCACTTTCCTGTGTCACTGGGTCTGGGGTTGGGCTCTTGCCCTGGGTGAGGACCTACTGTGACAATGAAAAAAGGGGGGGCTGCTTCAGAAGGCCCCTTCATGAGGCCGACGAGTCCTGCCCTCGGAGGCAGCCACAGGTTGCCGTCCAGTCCGGCGCCTGGGTCACCAGGCGCTCACTGACAGGCTTCTGGAAGCTGCTTCCCTTCCCCTATTTCCTAGGCTGTACGTCGGGAAACTGCGGGTCCAGGAAGCGCCCGTGGTGAGGAGAGGCAGGCTGGGATTCCTCTCACCATCCCCTGTCCTCTGCCGACCTGTTGTGAGGCGCGTGCGCGGCGGAGGTGGCGGCAGTAGGGGGAGGGGACACGCAGAGGGGCACAGGCTGGGCAGGGGTCGCCCACGTGACTGCCCGGTGCTAGGAACCAAGGGCGGGGGGCGGGGGGGAGAGCCCGCGGCTGCACACGTGTCAGACCTTCCCAGCCAGCCCGCCTCTCCCCAGGGCTTCCCCAGTGCGGGAGGGGAAAGGGTGCCGTTTGCTTTGCCCCTGGGAAAGGTCTGGTGCTAACTGGCGCATCCTCTAGCCAGGGGTGTCCTGCCTGCGGCCTGCAGGCCACATGCAGCCCAACACAAAATCATAAATTTACTTAAAACATGATGAGACTTTTTTTGTGATTACGTGTCACGATGTATTTAACGTGTGGCCCAAGACAACTCTTCTTCCAGTGGGGCCCAGAGACGCCCCAAGGTTGGACGCCCCCCGCTGGGCTTTAAAAATAAGGCTCCTTCTGAGACCTTCCTGTCTGCGGAACAGGTAACAAGGGGCCACCCTCCTGGAGCCTCGCCGGGCCACCCTTCTGGGAGGCAGGGTCTCAGTGGCCTCGGGGGCAGATGGCGAGAGATCCTGGGGCATGTCACAGTCCTTTTCTTGCAGCACCATTTAAGCTTTCCAGAGGTTCGCGAAGTGTCGTTTGATGGCCTGTTTGAATTTAACCCCCTCCTGCGCCTTGAACGAGGCCCCCAGGGAGCGGTAGTCAGGCGGTCGCTGTGGATGAGCTCAGTGTGGGCAGTGCTGATGACCGCGTCCGGGGTGGCCTCTAGTCCACCCTCTGGGTCAGGGTCAGCTAGGCTCCAGCCGCCGGTCCCCAGCGGCTGGGCACCCCTACCTTGCCAGGGAGCAGCCCGGTGCCGGGAAACCCAGCCGGTGCCCAGCTCCTCCGAAGGGGACCCCGCCCTCCTCCCCAGCTCGGAAGCACGCGTTGCGCGTCTGCCGCGGCATCGGCTCTCTGTGCACGGAACTCATCTCTCGGGCGCCCTGATTTTCACCTTTCGACGTAGAACATCCCCGGTGGCTTCGGCCCTCAGGGGAGAGGGCTTCTCACCATCCCCCTGGCGCTTCGCTCCTTCCTCTGCGCAATCCCGTTCATCGACGCAGGAACCCCGCTTCCAGGGAGGGCAGAGCCAGGGGAGCCCCTTTTCACGGGCGATCTGGACACTGCCCTCCTAAGGCCATGCCTCTTCATGGCGTTCTTGCTCCCAGGCCTC